ACTAACTAAAATCAAACGGGGAGGCGACTAATAGATAATGAAGTAACTCCAGCGAAATGATTCAAGAGCACTAGTAGTATACGGTTTGCGGAAAGTACGCAAAGTAGTATAATCATTGAGTCTGATAGTTAATAACAAACATAAGCAGTGAAGAAAATTGAAAAATTAATCTGCCTTAATTTACAGAAGGTGAATGACAGTTAATCGAATACAGTGTAGAATTCATAGGAATTTTGCCAAAGAATCAAAGGCACCAGTTTGAGGGGAAACAAACTTTTGGTGTGCTTTGATGTACATTTCATGTTCAATAACATCAAAGGAGAAAAAGTTCTCACTGTATTACTGGATATCTTGGTAAAAGAGGAATGCGTAAAGAGTCTCTAAACCAATTAATCAACCTAACAATAGGAACTACCTATTTCACATTAAACGGCTGCATCTATATGTTAATATTTGGTACAGTTATTGACTCGCTACCATACATTCTGTTTGCTATTGTCTTCATGAATAAGCTAGAAGAAAATTTCAAAGCGTCATCTCGGCAGTCAATAATAATTATACGAGGCCGAATACGAGGCGGACGCAACGTCTGGGAATGTAACAAGTTATTGACCTGGTGCAGGAAATTACAAATAATATGGCAAGGGACGTAGGGCTAGAAACATTCCTAAAAGTATACCTGTCGCCTCGACCAATTTGCGAAAATTAGCTTGGACCAACTTATTTCTAATATAGTTCATATCATATTTATGTACTTTGTTTTTACTCATATAGAGAAAATAAAATAGCCGTTCAAATCAACGCATGTGTAAAATATAATTTCTGAAACTTATGAGTAATTTTATTAAATTTAATAATTATTAATAAGAACTTGTTTGTAAAATTAACTACGTTAATTAGAGGTAAATAGCGCATATTATAAACAGTTATTTACCAACTAACGGAAAGACGATGTGGTCATGCTTATCTCTTGTATTCATAGTCACCCATTTTTGTATGTTATTGACATAAAATTAAAATTTTATGTATTCGTTATTATGCAATAACTGTTTTTAGTAAAATTTTATTCGGCACGTGGATGTACACTTTCGCATATATATATAAAAACTCTATTCTCGATTGAGAATGGCATAGAAACCACAACGCAAATTACGGCTTCTGAGTTAAGGCAGAATATAGTGCCATTCGTTGGATCATGTCATCTTATTGTATCTTTAAATAAACGACATGAAAATAATGTTAATGATGCAGCTGTTATTTATAAAAACCAGTAACTCAGAGACGATAAATATTTTATTTTACAGCACTAAAGATTGCTATTTTTGCTACGAATTTATTGTTAGGAGTCCAAATGTTATTCAATACAGAAGAAGTGAGTAAGGCTTTACTTTTCATTATCAGGTGATTGCCAAATTGCGCCTTTATCGGGAAATATAAGTAGTTTATGCTCACTTATATCCACCATTGAACTTGAAACCGGGTTTGTTCAAAATCGCGAGGACGCTTCTGATTTTAATTGCAAAAGCATAATCGAGGGTGTCTATGCGTTTGACTATCGCATAGTTGGAAGCACTGGTGTATGCTCCAGTCCTAACAGCATTATTAAGGCATGTCAGAGGCAAGGATCACCGTTGCGAGATAATTCTGTTTTTACACAAACTTATGGATATTGCCCGGATTTTCAAGATATTTCTGCGACTGAAGATCCAAATATAGTTTATGGAAAGGCAAATATTTGGCGCTGCTATGGGCGTTGGGTTGACAAAGATGGATCAATTTGGGCTGCGATCGAATATGATACGAATCAGCCTAAATTAAAGTTTAGATGTATGACAACTAGAATTGACCAACAAAATCCAGATGACTCTATACACTGGGGTAACTTTATCTGCAATAGTTTTCTTTATTCATTTTAATGGTGATAGAACAAACCTGATAGAAAATTTATTTCATTAGATTTTAAAACTCATAAAGGGTCAACTGTCACTGCACTGACCTTGTATATTTAGTTTATATTGATGATGTTTATCCTTTTATCGTCGAATAAGCTAGCATATAATAAAATAGGAATAGTTATTCACTTTATTTCTCCTAGCATTGTAGCACTTATATATGTTATATTCGAATAGCCACTGTTATACTTTTACCAGTTTTTTTACAATTAGCATATTTCCCACGTTAAAATTCTAAGTATCCACATTTAACCTTTGTACCTTTGGATT